CATTACATTACAGTACATGAAACAAGTCTTACATCTATTTTATTTCATCAAAAATTCAGAGCAGTACCAATTTAATAAATTATAATATAGTCATATAGATTTCAAAATATAAGATGATGACGTATTGTTTTGAAAGAAGAATAAAACTAATGTCATTTACTTCGTATAATAATTTGTTGTGATTAAAATTTACATATTTATTTCTTTTGTTAAAATTAGGTATTATTTGAAACAATAAAAAGAACACTAATACACACAATTTTTTATTAAATCTTCTATAAGATGCCGTGTACTACTGCATGTCGCAACTGTGTTTATGTTATATTACATAAAAAGGCATAGGTATGATAATTTTTCACACACGTACTCCAAGCAGTGTCGAGTCGATCGCATAAAATACACGCTCATATAGATATAAGTAACTGCGAGCTACCGCGGTAGCATTTATTATACGTAGATACAAAATTAATAAATACGATTCCCGGGCCCCACCACGCCATGAGCACCTCATAATATTATTAGATAGGTGTAGGCACTTATAGTGGGTGTGTGATGTAGGCAAATAGAGGTACCATCATGCCCCTTAATAATGTCCATCGTCGGATTCCCGGGACTGTACGATAAAAACTCGCATTGCGAGCATAAACTTTGTTGCTTATAATATAATTCCGAATTCCCCAGCAGGTACCCCGACTACCGACTGTATAATGTTATTGTGTATATTACCCAGTGTATATGTTACGGGCAAAGTGGAAAATTCGGGAAATGTATACAATGCCCGGGCATTGTATACAATGTCCGAGGTATATTGGGCAATGTAAATTGTGAAGTACTTATACAAATAATCTGCATAATATTATTTTACCTAATCAATGATATTATATAAGTACTAATAATTATTATACTCGTTTATATGGTTATTTATATAAGAGTATAAGAATTTTTTTTTTAATTAATTAAATTTTAAATGTATTTAAAGGTAATGCAATAAAATATTATGTGCATAATGTTCAGTTATATGATATCATACATGAAGTTCATTTGTCAATTGGACATGGAGGTAGAAATAGAATGGAACACGAGATTAATAAAAAGTACAAAAATATAACTAGAGATGTAATAATGTTATACTTAAATAATTGCGAATCGTGTAAAAAGAAGGGAAGTACAGCTAAAAAAGCGTTGGTTGTAAAACCAATCATATCTTCTGAAATGAATTATCGCTGTCAAATTGACTTGATCAACATGCAAGCACAATCAGATGTCGATTATAAATTCATATTAGTTTATCATTATCATCTAACAAAATATATTATGCAGATTATTTGTATAAATACTTCACAATTTACATTGCCCAATATACCTCGGACATTGTATACAATGCCCGTAACATATATAAGTGATAAGACTTTAGGTACGGATGTATACTTGAGATAAGCCGAAAACCGACTATCTATTTTTCCTGCAATGTAGAATTTATATTATCTCCGTATTAAAGAGATGAATGCCAGTAACACAATAGACGGCGGGATAAGTTAAAATATACACTCCAAAATAATTGCTGATTTATACTTTCATCCCTGAACTATAGAATCCCGAATCAGGAGCGGTTCTAGAAGAAAATTTTCGAACTAGCAACAGTTCATTTATAAATAAGTCTCAATTGAGAATAAAATCCCCCCTCCCAACCCCTATATTTTATTAGTAAAATATTTATGTTAATTTTCTCCAAAAAAACTTAATTATATTAGCAGTGGGTACATATTATTTAATTTTTCAATAAGGAGTACCAGCAATATTTGGGTACGGGCAGCTAGTGGTGGCCTGCTATACACCCTGTCCGTACTCTAGAACAGCCACTGTATAGATTGTATAGACTAAAGGTCTATAGATAAATAGATAATATAATACTGAATGCAATCTATAATGTATACATAACTTTTAAATTGTAAAAGGGGGCGGGGGGAGTCAGTAGAAAAAACCTACACAAAGAAATAGGCATTTTTAAGTATATAATACCCTAAAAAGTCATATAAGTGTATGAAAAACAGGTAACTAATTTTTATCAACGCCAATCTTTATTTTGTGTTGCATTTAAATTAAATATGGTGGGGTGCAGTAAACTTATTTAAAAATGGTCGTATAATAAATATTTAAAAAATAGGCACTTCCTAATTATTCATAGTTCTTACAACTCAAAAATAATATTATGATAACACGGGGTCCTAGGTAGGCTATTTAGCTACACGATTGTCGTGGGTCATTTTTCCGGTCCCTCTTGTAGTAACAAAATATAATAGTAATAAATAGGGCTCGGATTTTAAAGCATAATAAATAACAAAAAAAGCATAAAATTGATTAAAAAAAGCAAAAATGAAGCATATTTATTTTTAAAAAAAGCAAAAAAAAAGCACGACTAAAAATTAACACGAATTAGTTATAATTTTATAAAACTGAATGAAAAAAAATTGAAAAATTAATTTAAATTAAAAAAAGAATTTACTACCATGTATTTGGTAAGATTTTCAGTAGTGAAACTGACTCTCTTGTCAGACAGGGTGTTTTTATATATCGAAAACGAACGCTCTACATCCACTGAAGTGATCGGTGCATACTTCATGCAAGAGGTTTCGTTTAAATCAAACCCATGATAATTAATTTCATCTGATGAAACGCCACACAGTATAGTATTGATGTCCAGTAATTGTTTCCAGCCTTTGTTTTTCAAAAGAACACGATTTTGTTTACCAGAAATAGCAGTTGCAATATCTCCATGAGCTTCATTTAACTTTTACTTTACACTTTTATTTTATTTTCATAGCATAACAACAAATAAAAATTCCACAGCTTGAATAACTGAAAAAAGCAATAAAAAAGCAAAAAAAGCATTTATACTAAAAAAAGCAAAAAAAAGCAAAAATAAATTCGTTTATTTCGGATCAGATTAACGTGAAACGAATTTATGTATAAAAATTAGATTTCTATCTTAAATATATAAATAGAAGCATTTGCTTTAAAATCCGAGCCCTAGTAATAAAATATGACGCTTTACCGGGAGTTACTATTTTAAATTTACTTTTTTGAAAATACTTTTTCAATTGAAGAATAAAGAATAATTGCAAATAAGATGAAAGTACATGAGCTAAGACACTACAGCAGGATATCAGAGGTGTTTGATGTTGACGTGTTGTTGCTTATATAAATGTATTTAAATGTATTTTAATATAATACTAATTATTACTATTACAAACACTTGCCTTTTACCGCAAGTACATTTCAATAAATCTAAATGCATCTATTCGGTTTTTAATTATAACAAATCAAAAAATGGCATAATATGTTAGAAATAGCTCTAAAAGTATAGATAAAAATGTGTTAACATTTTAAGTATGTATCTACGTTTATTTGTTTTTGATTTACCTATAAAAAAACTGTATTAATTTTGTTGAAAACTGATATAGATACCTATTGCGTAAAAATCCTCGAATTTCCTTATTATTTTTTCTTTTCCCCGATTATTATTATAAAAAGTACAGGGAACTTTCAATTTTTACCTCTCAAAATAACCAACTCATTCTTTTCAGAATCTAAAATTATATTATTTATTATTACATACTGTTGTGGAGCATGATTATGATAAATAGTTACAAAAGTGATAATATAAGTAAGTAGGTATTATGTTGACATTCACGTCAAGTTCAATAATATAAGCACAATTACTTTTACGGATTACCTGAACGAAATCGACGACCATAATTCTAGGGGGAGGGGGCTAAAATTTACACTGGGAGGCTAAACCCCCCCTAGATACGTCTATGACAATGTCAAATCTCAATAAATACATTATGTTTCATCACACATTTATAAATATTCCTTTAAGGTAAAAAGCAACACGATTTTATATCTTAATCAGTACCTAATCACTATTCAGAGTGGAGTTATTAAAGTGGATATTGTTTAATGTTTATATCAGGTATAACTGTCGCCTGTCGGGTAAATTGTAAAAAAAACTAGTAATTTAATTTGATTACAATATTATTAATGTACTCTGTACTCAACATAAAATGTATTATGTAATTGTAATATTATTTAGTTTAAATTGCTTTTGAAATTTACTTTTGAAAAAAACAGTATAAAAAAATTTCACGAATTACCACGTCTCTAGTCCACGTGTTTACAGTCATACATTCCACATCAAACATAATGATTTTACAATCCCTTTATTGTATTAGCTGATAGCTGATTTGACATGTCTATGGCTGACCCCTGCATGACATGTCAAACATGTCCATGCTTCAGAGTCCCATCCAACTCTTTACAAGTAATAGCGAGATGGCGAAATGCCAACCTTAAAGTTTACGTAGTCATTTCTGATACTCTGCTTTGTGTTTGGCTATGCCGTGGTAATTATTTACATACATTTTGATATAAACATAGAACCTAACTAGATTTAAGACGTATAATATATGTATATAATACATGGATAATGGTTGTAGCATACTATTATTTTACATACATACATTGTATGTGATCTATGATTACAATACTATATTATACTAATAGAAAATTACTATAGTAGTATACTAGTATACTAGTATCACATTCAGTGCCGCAACTACATTTCTAAAACTATGCCATCCTATTTTAACTTAATTATTACTTAATTTAATATTAGTATACCTACTACTACACTAATGTATCAACTTAAAAAAAAATGTATTGTGAATAATTAAGTTTTGAGTTTTAAGACTATTTCAGTGTTTGCTCCAGGTTGGGCCCGGGGCCCCCCAAATGTATGTAAGCCTTGAGGCCCGTGTGCGCCGCACACTCTGCACAACCGGTTTTTGCGGCACTGATCACATTTTATTATATTGGGAGAAATGGAGGGAAATAGCAATGGCGGTGAAACTCTTATAGTTATAAAAGCAAGAGGAAGAGGAAGCAGTATCTCAGTAAGTAGTATCTACTACCAATTACTTAACTCATATGACAATACTCAATTCACGGTAAATAATAATATATATTATAGTTAGATATTCGCCATTTTTAATACATAAGAAAAATTATGTGGGATTCATATACCCCATGCTAGACCCTAGCATGAGGTCTCACGAAGGTGCATCATTGTCACCCCAAGGGTCCAGGACAGTAGGACTAGTACTGATTGTATCCTGGAACATTAAACATTATCTAACATTGTAAAATACATCACTGTTCTGATATTATTGCATGTATTATGCTTCTGTCGTGGTTCATTGACTGTTGTGGAAATTTACCAATATTAAACGCCATATTTACTGCTTGACCAACACCTGTTGTAAATTAAGCACACATGATATTAATTGTTATTTCAATATACAGTATATCAGAGTACGAGGCTTTCATACTTGATCCACATGCAACTACACGGTTTGCAAGACCACATTCAAATGCTTCTTTAGATTTTATATCTCTACCAGTCAATAATAGATCCATTGTTCTTGAATATCCAACTGTTTTTAAAAGCCTATTGAGAAATATTTTTGATTTTGAAATATTTAATTTTCTATCGATTGCCATGACAGCATTCTCTTCTACAATGCGCAAATCACACCACAAACACAAATCAAAACCAGCATTATATGCAAATCCAGAAACGGCAGCTATGATTGGCTTTTGACAATGTGATTGCAAAAAGTCCTTAAGAAAAAAACGAATAATTTTTGTATGAAAGAAAATGAATGAATCAAGTGTTTATTTATTACATCATATACTTGTGGTGCCTCAGACAATTCACAAGGGTCGAACCCTGCACAGAATGATCCCCCTTCTCCATATAAAATAGCAACTGTCGATGAAGGATCATTCTCAAAATTTGAAATAACTTTTCTTAAATCATCTACAGTTCCCGCATTTAATGTGTTTTTATCATCGGGTCTATTCAATGATATTAAAGTAATATGCTGGTGCTTGAATGTCTTAACATTTGGATAGATAATATTTTCTGAAATAATAAAATATATGACAGCTTAATTTATAAAAATCATTTTTAAATTAAAGTAATTGTTTTTTTTTTTACAATATACATTTTGAAACACTGAGAAGAGCATCTATCTTAGAGAATTTTATGGGTGTCTCACTAATTGTTAAGTAAATAGAGATAATTATCAAAATAAAAATCTTTGAGTAATATAAGCATAGAAAGTAATAAGTAAGTGTTCATTAAGAGTTTGACCATTATTGTGGAAACTGGCATCTTTTAGAATGTAAAGCTCTTTTCGCTATTCACAATTTTAAGTTCTAACAAACTTTTCATGAGTAGGTAAGTGTAGTATATTGTAACCTTAATGCTGTATTTCACATTTCAAGCGTTCAATTGTATCAATAAAGACATGAATAAGACAAAAAAAAATCATACCATTAGATGTTAGAACAGCTCCAGACGAAAAAAATTTATAATATTTTATCGATGGCTTAAATTGTAAGTAGTTTGTAGAATGGAGAATTAATTTGAATTGTTTTAATAAAGCCATGTTTAAAATATTTGAAATGGAAAATCGTTATCACTTTATCAGTTAATATTTTGTTAACATTATGTTATTATCAACCAACAGCTGATTTAACCATAGATATTAGATAATATTATTTTATAATATATAGATATAAATTAACTATAGATTTAATATAAGATAATAAATAATATGTATTTATATTAGATAATATTGAAACATTTAACATTTCAAACATTTGAAATTAAATTCTCTGAAATAACTTTATTATTTAAATATTTGCTTTTACTTTTTGGATTTCCGAATTTACTGTTTTTCATAATAATTTTTAATTTTACATCTTGCAAGTAGACGTAGAAATTGTTCACTAATGCAATTTTAAATTAATTTCCTAGTTTTATATTTGTTGAGTTTATTGTATGACAATTTATGAACACCCTTATTTTCTTATTGAATAATGTTCAATTAAATGAATGTCACAGTATGTGGCGAATATTCAAAATATTTATATTCATTTAAAAAGTCTTCTCTTTCGTAACTATCTAATTTATTAAATTGATTATAAAATCATTTACCATGAAAATACCTACTTCTATTCTTAAATTACTTCTATTATTTGTAACCGGAAATGTTCAAAGTATGTTATTATTTGTATGTTTGCAAAAATCAAATATTACTATTAACTTTAAATTTTCCATTTAGGTTCAATTCATAAAAACCTTGCACATTTTGAAACTTTACATGCTTCAGATTTTTCTCATAACATAGTGAAACGTGGAGTCAATAATAGTCCACATCCATTAAACAAAGTAAAAGAAGTATCATTCACTACATTGGGAAGGTAATAAATTATATTAAATAACTGTATGTGTAAATTTGTAGTGTGCAAGGAGGCTAAGTGTTCTTAGACTTTCATTAAGAGTGTCTTTAGGGCCTGGTACTTGAATTATAGGACCTTAAATAACCTTAAGAGTACTCCAGGTCCACCTGTAGCTAAAAATATTCATTCAAGTATTTTTATAGAGATTTTCGATTAATATTAACACCAAAAAAAGGATTATTACATCATCAGTTTGAAGCCACAAGCATAGATGCTGAAGGAAATGAAACTCCAGTTGCAGTTGGTATGTTGAAATATTGTAAATTGTTATTATTATCTACTAACTTTTCAAACATATTTCTCATAGTAATTTACTAAAACTAAGTACCTGTTTACTTTATATTATATTTATATTATATTTATATTATATATAGAAATTGAAATGTTTTTATAATTATTGAATTTTTTTACACAATTTAGATCATGACCATTTTTATGATGGCCGAGTATTTGGAGAAATAAGTTCACATGCTAGTGTACATTTAGATGAAGGTGTTATGACAGCTATTATTGATGTTCCTGGTGAAACTTATCACATTGAAGTATATAAAACAGTTTAATTTATACAGTAGTAGTTATTTTATAAATTTGTTTCATTTTAGCCATCTTGGAGACATATGATCGACAAAGATAACAAAACAATGGTAACTTATAAGGCATCAGATGTACGATTAAGTTGGGAACATTCAGATCTAAATCAACATAAGCCTTGTGCTTATGTAAAAGAAGATGCAGGTTTGAGTATTAAAGATATTCATTTTTGATTTGATTAAACTAATATTATTAAGTTTTCAGAGGTAGAAACTGTAGATGATGATGATGAACATTTAAATACTATTACACGTTCTAAACGTGACGCTGATTCTTATGACTATATGGTTACACCAACAAGAACACGTTGCCCGTTGCTTTTAGTCGCTGATTATAGATTTTTCAGAGAAATGGGTGGAGGTGATACAAAAACAACTATAAATTATTTAGTAAGTATTGAAATATGAAGTTTTTTAACAAAATTAACTGGCTTATATGCTGATTTCCTATTTTATATATAAAAAAATTGGCTACCTTTTAATATTGGTCACACCTATACAGTGTTATAGTTAAGTCAGCAAACAAATATTTACTGTTTTTATTTTTTATCATTTGGAAAACATTTTGATGTATTCAAACATAAAGTATTTTAATTTTAAACGTAGCTATAATTTATAATTAATGAACTCAAAATATCTATATATTTATATTTTAGATAAGTCTAATTGATCGAGTACACAAAATATACAATGATACTCTATGGCTAGAACGTCAAGAATCTGATGGATTTCGTGGCATGGGTTTTGTTATTAAAAAAATAACTGTACATAGTGATCCAACTAAAGTGCGAAGTTCAGAAGATCATTATAACATGGTTCGAGAAAAATGGGATGTTCGATCTCTACTTGAGGTATTTATTTTCATAAAACTATGTAAGATATCTTATTATACTTAAAACAAAATATGAGTTATACACATTACATTGTGTGTACAAATTTTCTTTCTATTTGACTTTAGCTATATTTCTGTCTCCTCAATGTAATTCCATATATATTTTTATCACATCCATACTCTTTTTCTTAAGCCTACTGTGCTTTTATCTGTACTGAATCTTCTTCGCTAATTAGTATTTAATTTTATTTCCTCCTTAACACGTCCAAACCTTCTCTCCTATTCTTTATTATTTCAAACCTAGCAAATAAATTCCATCTTAAAATTCTAATTTCTAATGTTTTCCGTTTGGTTTTTGAAACAATTTAGTTATAGCTTGTAAATATTACAGAAAAATATTTAATTATTAAATAAACACATATATTTATGTTGTTATTAATTTTACAATTGATGTATAATCTATAATAATAAATAGGAATTCTCTAAATCAAAAGATGTATCCAAGTATTGTTTAGCGCATCTGTTTACGCATCAAACATTCAGATCAAAACGATCTTCAGTATTGGGGTTAGCATATATAGCCTCACCTAGAAGTTATGCAATTGGCGGCATATGTAGTCCTGGTGAATATTCTTGTTTATCACACATTTTAATGATGGAAAAGGAGACTAAATGCACAAATTAATCTCATAAATCTTTAACTCATACTAATAAAATATTATTTAATATTGTCTTGTTGTAATAATGCACAGGTGTATATTAAGTGTCATTATGTCGTTGGTGATTAATTAGATTATGGACTAATTCCAAGGATTTATATAATACATGCAACCATATAATTAATAAGGCGATTTACATACTTCCATATTTTAACACTCAATTTGGTAACACATTCTTCTAACCGTTAACAAAATCTTGCCCTCTTTATGTTTGCTAGTGTACTCATCACTTGCTATACTTAATGATATAAGTGACATTTTATAATACTAAGTAACAACTAATATCAAATATGTTATCATTGAAAATAATTAATAATTAATTATCTAAGTACAATCGTAGATTCATTTGTTCGGTATTTTAATTTGATATTTGCTCAACTATTGAATTAATAAATATGTTTGAAATTTACCAATTATTTTAACATGCATCACTATTTAATATTTGTGCTTTATTTTAACTCAACAAAAAAACTTTAATATAATCTATTACTATTGCTTTGCTGGTGGCAGGTTTTTAGCCGTGAATATAGCCATAAAGATTTCTGCTTAGCCCATTTATTTACCGACTTAAAATTTGAAGGAGGTATTCTAGGACTTGCTTATGTCGGTTCTCCTAGACGTAATTCAGTTGGTGGAATTTGTACACCAGGTGATGGAAGCATTAATAATTTTAAAAATATTTTTAAAAAAAACACATTTTTATGATTGAAAATTTGAAATTTAACAGAATATTTTAAAAATGGGTATACATTATACCTTAATTCTGGTCTCAGTTCAAGCCGTAATCATTATGGTCAACGAGTAATTACACGAGAAGCAGATTTAGTTACTGCTCATGAATTTGGTCACAATTGGGGATCTGAACATGATCCAGATATAACTGAATGTAGTCCTACAGCTAGCCAGGGGGGATCTTTTCTTATGTACACATATAGTGTCAGTGGATACGATATTAACAACAAAGTAAGTTTAAATTTAAAAAAAAATTAAATTGTATGAATTTATCAACATCTATTGTAAATTTTTCATTTTCTCAGAGATTCTCTCCATGTAGTTTACGGTCTATACGTAAAGTATTACAAGCTAAATCAGCTCGTTGCTTTTCTGAACCAGAGGAATCATTTTGTGGTAATCTTAGAGTTGAAGGAAACGAAGAATGTGATGCTGGTCTATTAGGTACTGAAGATAATGATTCATGTTGTGACAAAAACTGTAAACTCAGAAGAGCTCAAGGTGCTCGGTGCAGGTATTGAAATATATATTATAATAATATAATATACTACGTAGTAATTCATATGTAAATTTAGTTAAAACTCTGGAGGGCTAGAAATATCAATCAACACGTGTTAGCATAATTTATTAAACTTACAAAGTCAAGTTAGGAAATTCTTTAGGAGGGTTACGGGAGTTTTGGAGGGGGCTAAGTCCCCAAATTTACGCCTATGTAGTAATTTAATTGTTTGTTGTTTCATTTTGTGATTAATTTTGTTTAGTGATAAAAATTCGCCGTGTTGTCAAAATTGTCAATTTATGGCATCTGGAGTGAAATGTCGTGAAGGGCAATTTGCCACTTGTGAGCAAGAATCTCGTTGTACAGGTACTGGAGCTGAGTGTCCTAAGAGTCCACCTATGCCTGATGGTACTGGGTGCCTTGAAAGGGGTAAATGTCGTTCTGGTAAATGCATACCTTTTTGTGAGACCCAAGCATTACAAAGTTGCATGTGCGATACTAGTAAGTTAAAAATAATTTATTGTTGTTTTTTGATGTGCAATTTCTAAAATATTTTTCATTTAATCTTAATAAGATTGTCAATCATAATTGTTTCTTATTTTCAGTTCTACAATCATGCAAACGATGTTGTCGTATAAATTTAAATGATACATGTTATCCAGTAGATCCACCTGATGTATTACCTGATGGAACACCGTGCATTCAAGGATTTTGTAACAAAGTACTGTTATACTGTTAAATTAATATTTTTGTAAAACAAAAAATGTTAATTATGTTGGTTTGTAATAGGGCGCGTGTGAGAAAACT